TGTCTGAGTTAGAGCTTGCCCGTGTTCTGGAGGGGGTCGGGCCATCAGCGGGGCCCGACCAGCATGTGCTGTGTCCCCGCAGCTCTGACATGTTTCCCAAGTGCCGTGTGCTGTTCTCGTGGTTGCAAGTCGGGTCAGCAAGTCAGCTCTGGCTGGCGTTTGACTGACTCTCTTTGCCAAATGAGAGCACAGTGAACTGTTGGTTTCCACCGCAGGGTCGCCGACCTTTCAGCTTCTGGACGACTGCGAGTACGTGTTTGTCTGGAGAACGGTGGAGGCCTGTCCTGTGGTCCGCGCCGAAGGTAAGGCGCCGCCCTGCGCCGCTCAGCGACGTGTAGATGTGTGAAGGGGGCGCAGCAGCCCCGCGTGTCAGCGGGCGGGTCGTTCTCACCCTCGAGTTTTGTTTGCTCCACTCCGTTGCTAACTTTACCTGTAGCGTTTTCCTCACGTTCCTGACTGGTGGGTGGTTGGTGAGAACATGAACGTGGGGCTTTGTTTTGCTTACGTGGATCTTCAGCCTGTGACCTGAAGCTTTTCTAGAAAGCTGTCTGCCAGGCAGTTTGTCTCATGCGCACAAACCAGATGAAAACAGGTGGAAATGATATTTAATGCCTATCTTAAGACAGTTCTTAGCTGATGAAAAGTTGCGAAACGTTTGCCTGAAAGTATGAGTGCCTGTGTCGATGCCCTTCCCTCGCCGTGTTCTTGAAGGAGACAACTGTGAAGTGAAGGATCCGAGGCATGGCAACTTGTATGACCTGAAGCCTCTCGCCCTCAACGACACGGTCGTGAGCGCCGGCGAGTACACGTACTACTTCCGCGTCTGCGGAAGGCTGTCCTCGGGCGTCTGCTCAGCCGGTGACAGGTCCAGGGTCGTCTCGTCATGTCAGGAAAAGCGGGGACCCGAGGGATTTCAGAAAGTGGCAGGTACTGTGGTTTTTCCTCCTTGTTTTTGCACAAGAATGGAATTACATATTTAAGACATCAGGCTACAGGTGACGTCTGTCTCGGGTGGGAAGGGTGGCTCCTGCGCTCGGGGGACAGCGTATTAGTGACGTCTCTGCTTTCGCTTGATTTTCGGAGCCGGGCCTCGGCTGATGAGCGTTGTTAGAGTTTATTTCATTCGTGCTTAGCCACGCCAGTTACTGATTCTAAGTTCATGTCTCTTTTTCCTGTTTTACCTTTGGGACCCACTGGACTGTTAATGAGGTCGTACTTTCTAGAATTGAGTCCAAGGGGACACATTTTGTGTAGGCTTGGGCTGTAAAACTTATGGGGCAGGCTGTGGTCATTGTGCTGTCTCAGCAGCCGGGCAAGTGATGCTAAGTTTAAGAACTTTAAAAAAAGGAAGTTGAAGTAGTTGATGGGGGCTGCATGGGAAGACCTTGGGGGCTGTGCAGACGAGGTGACATCCTCTTAGCTCAGCAGGCTGAGGCGTGTCTGCATGTCGGTGATCCCGTGGGTAGTCTGGAAGGTCACAGCCTTGGCCAAGAGAAGGCCTGGTTTTATTCTTTCATGGTGTCATGTGATGGGGCCAGTGGTCCAGTGCTGGTAGGCCAGACACACTTGGTCCTGTGAGAGTTCGTTCAGGGTGTGTGGCGTAACGTGTCTGGGGACTAGCCTGGTGGCCTGGGGACTTCGTGAACCAGTCGTTGTCTGACTGGCTGCTTCTTGAACAGGTCTGCTTACTCAGAAGCTGACCTATGAGAATGGGGTGTTGAAGATGAACTACACTGGAGGGGACCCTTGCCACAAGGTGTACCAGCGCTCAACGCCATCTTTTTCTATTGTGACCGCAGCACCCAGGCGGTGAGTGTGCTCAGTGCACATGGGGTGGGAGGGTCGGTCCGCCAGCTCAGGGGCCACTGTCTTATAAAAAAATCTGCTCTTAAGTCTTGAAGTCTCCTGGTTAGCTTAGTTTAAATATGTTCTGTACACAAAATGGGTTCAAGCCTTGATCAACGCATGTTGAGTAAAGATCAGGACCATCCCTTACTATTTGCATCCTTAAAACTGAAGTTTCCCAGTGGGGAGGGTATAGCTCAGTGGTAGAATGCATGCTTAGCACGCACGAGGTCCTGGGTTCAATCCCTAGTACCTCCAGTAAAAATATATTTAAAAAACTTTTTTTATTAAGAAAAAGGTCTTAACCCCCCCCCCCAACTGAAGTTTCCACTTCATGGGTATGTCTCTCAACTTTTGCAGCCGGTGTTCCTCCAGGAGACTTCGGACTGCTCCTACTTGTTCGAGTGGCGCACGCAGTATGCCTGCCCGCCTTTTGACCTGACCGAGTGTTCATTCAAGTAAGCGCGTGGGGATGTTGGCTCTCGGGCAGTCCGATTTACTTGATAATATTTTTGCTTTAATAGCTGCCTGAGGGACAGGGCATTAGATTAGTCAGGTGCTTTCTCGAAGCCTTAGTTCCTGAATATGAAGCTGGCAAGTTGGGTTAGGTTACCTGCGAGACCCTTCACAGCTCTGAGAGGCTTTGGTTACTTTGAGTTAAGGTGCAGGGAAGTGATTGCGGTTGAAACAGAAAACCGTGCACGATTCATGAGTCTGAGCGGATCGGAGTGAGCAGGGTGTGCCCTGGCCTCTGCTCCTCCCCAGCGGCTGCCTGTGTCTGGAGACACAACAGTGAAGAGAAAGGTGATGGCTGAGCTGCATGGGGGTGGGCTGGAGAGAGCACGAGGGGGTGACATCCAACCGGCAGGCTCTTGGTGGCCGCCTGGTTCTTTTGTTCTGTTACCTGTGGCTCAGGTGTGCCTCTGAGATCGGGTGATTGGCAGCTCTCGAGATAAGGTGACCTTCACTGTGTGTGAATTTCAGTTGTGCCTCTCAGAACTATGACAAAGTAGACCTCTTGGATTCTGTCCCGGGAGAGTGTGGTTCCCTGGGTCTCCACGTCCTGAGTATTGAGGGACATGCTGACATTTCTGCTGTGTGAGGACCCCACCTGAAAAAAATCACTGAGCTATAGCTTCCTGTCCTGGAAGAAATCTGGTCATTTCCATGTTTCCTTCCAGTCTTCTTGTTGTGTTACGTCCTTTTATTGAGATAAAGGAATAATTTTTGAAGTGTTAGTGACGTATGGAAATACATACAGTTGGTGATCTATACCAGTAAGTCCACTGTTGGCTCATCTCCTGACTCCGGCTCCTTACACCACTGCTGCCCAGGCCTGGGGTCCACATCGCACTGTACCACCGCGTGGTACTTCTGACAGAGTCTGTGGAGTTCAGTCTTGGTCTTCATTTGAAAAGTCTTGAGCTTATCCTCGCTGGCTTCATACAGAATTCTGGGTTAACAATTTGTGTGTGTGTATCAGCACTTTGAAGTTGTCCATCATCTTCCTGTGCTTAGCCCTGCGGGTAGAGAATCTGCCCCCTTTGGTCCTAGTGTCATGCCTTCCCTGCGTACTTCCCTGTGTGTATTCCGCAGTCTCGCCTGATTTGCTTGTACAGGGCTTTATTGTCTGGGTTGCTTGCAAGTCGGTACTCTCTGAAACTGAAGATGCGTGTCTGTTACTAGTTTCGGAATATCTGCAGTTACTGTAACTTTGAATGTTGCCTCTAACCTTATCTGTCTCTTCTGGAACTTCTATTAATCATTTCTTAGACATTCCTATTCTATCTGCTTTTTAGTATCCTTTTCATCAGTTTCTGTACTGTATTCTGTTTCCTTAGACCCATTTCCAGTTTTATCAGCTGGTCTCTTAGCTGGTTTAATTCGCTGTTTTGACTGTTGCCTTTTTAATTTTCATGACTGTAATTTTCATTCTAGGAGGTCTGTTTGGTACTCTTTCTAATCCACCCTTTCTTCCCTCCATTTTGCCCCCTTCTTTCACTATAGTTTCAGTTTCCTCTTTTGATCTTCAACCATTTACAGTAAGCCTCTGAGCTGGTCCATTAGGTGAAGTTCTTGAGGACTTGCTTCTGCAAAAACTGATGTCTCCCACAGATTCCAGTATTAGTTAATGCTGGCATCTTTTCTCTCTTATCCTATTTATGGTCCATCAACTTTCAGACAAGATTAGACGTGTTCTGGGTGGTGTGGCCATTGACGGTCCATCAACTTTCAAAATACCTCGGACTCCCCATTCTGGAAGCAGTGCGCCACCCTGGTTTATGTGGCTTTATCTTGCACCTGCACCACTGCAGTCACCCGTCAGTCGGTCCCCTTGCTACACGTGGGACAGTCCGGCATGATGATTAGAATGAACCTGTTAAATTACAGGTCAGTGAGGGTGCTTTTGCTGAAACTCCTCAGTGCAGTGAAGCCCGTCTCAAGCTGGAGTCCTCACTACAGACTGGAACACCCCCTGTATCATGTCTCACCACAGCCCCTGCTTTTTCACTCCTCACATCTAATCTGCTCCAACCACATGGGGCTCCTTGCCTTTGACCTCACCAGGCTCTCTGTGCCCCAGGCCCTTTGCTTGTGCTGCTCCCTCTGCCTATGTTGTGCTGTGCTGGGTCCCTGGATGCCTGGCTCTTCCATATCTTCCTGAGTTTATTCAGAGGTGGCTCCGTAGGAAGGTGGTCTCTGAGTGATGTCTGATCTCATCTCCTCTTCCCTCTCCCAGACTTTATCCCTGCCCACCCCACCACCCTGCCTTTTCTTCTCTTCACTGTGGTTGCCATCTGATATACATAAAAAAAAAGTTCTTGTCTGTGGTTTTTCTTCCGCTGGTGACTTCTGCAGGCTTCATGAGATGGGCGATTTTGATCTGTTTTCCTTCAATACAGCACCCCCAGTTGTGGGGCACGTGGTTTTTGAATGAATGAGTGATTCTCACTCAAGTGGTGTTCTTGTCTGTCTCTACCTGGACCTGGTGCCCCGCAGGTGGAGTATTTGTCTTTCTTACCTTTGACTCTGCACCTGGTGTGGGGCTGGTTCCCAGTAACTGTCCTTGTTTGGAATTTGTGTAGTGAGTAAACCTTTGAGCAGAAAGTCCGCCCCGGCCGGTTTTACGTCAGTGATTGCTGGCGGCCTCGGGCTCAGACAGCAGGTGGCCTTCCCGGGCTGCCTGAGGGGTGCCCGTGTGCTCCAGCCGGGCACCCTCGTCTGCTCACCGGCCTGAGCAGGACAGGCGCTTTGTTTGCTTTTTCAGGTTAATACATAATTGCATTGAACAAGGCTTGATGTTTCCTGAACTCAGGCTGTGTTGCTGCTGGTTGACCAGAGATGGGAGAGTCCAGCATAAAGTTCTGTCCCTGGAAGGACCTGATTCCCAGGGTGTCAGGACTAGGCTGTGCTCTAAGTGCCAGAGCCTTTCCAGATGGGGCACTGAGGACCCCGTTAGACAGCTGAACCTGACGGCCGTGCTTTCTTCCCTTCAGAGATGGGGCTGGGAACACCTACGATCTCTCACCCCTGTCAAGATACAGTGACAACTGGGAGGCCATCACGAGGACGGGGGCCACCGAGCACTACCTCATCAACGTTTGCAAGTCTCTGGCTCCCCAGGCTGGCTCGGGTGAGGGGTCTCTGGGTGGGCTGGTGGCTTGTAAGGGGCTTTATGGGGAAGGAACGAGTAAGAGCGAGGCTCCTTGAAGGTGTGTTGCTTTCTGACATGTGAGTGGTTTGGCCAAGAAGTAACAGGAAGAGTTATCTGAGGGTTAGTGACTGACCCTGGTGTGGCCCAGGACAAATCAGTGCTGAAGGTTCTGCTGGAAACGCTATAACCTTTTTTGAACTTGAGGAGACAGAGGTAGAAATAATCATCATTGCAGGTAATTCTCAGCAGGGCAGGAGATTGGAGGGTGTGAAAGGAGATCTGGGTGCCTGCCCCCCACATCTACTGAGAGGAATGTGGGTGAGGGCCTCTTACGATGCACCCAGACCCCTGGTGCCAGTGATGAGACTAGAACTCAGCGGTCCACGTGGGGCCAGGGGCGATGCATAGAGACCACGGTGCCCCGTGTTGGGATCCTGAAGACGAGACGTGTCCCATTTTCATGGAGTTTCATGCAGCTTGCTCACGTCTTGTCTGGCTTCAACTCAAGGGGTGGGGGAGGTGATTTGGTTTATTTATTTATTTTCAGTGGGGGTGCTGGGGATTGAACCCAGTTCCTCGTGCACACTAAGCATGCACCCCACCACTGAGCTGTACCCACCCCTGTTATGTAACTATGATAAGTGTTTCCATCCTCTGCATGGTCTGAGGCCGTGGCCCACTTCCCGTTGCCTTGTGTGCTGGCCAGACTGGTGACACTGAGGTTCTTAACCTGTGAACGGGCTCATTTGTCCGGGGCAGATGGCACAGGCATTTTGGGGACTGGGAAGATGGCTCAGCTCTTGGTGGCTTCTTAGATAAACACAGTCCATGAACGTAGGCCATTTAAAACGTCCCGTTGGCTTGATCGAGGTATTTAGCGTCATCCTGCTTGGGGGTCGGGAGTAATTTAGGCTGTCGTGCCTTAGACTCTCCCCACACCCCAGCCCCACGTCCACCTGTGGTAAAACAGCGTTTAATGGAGGGAGAACTCACGGGGTATCTTTGGCACGTGACGTATGTAAAAGGAATCACTGACACTTCGGAGTGGTTGTTAGAGTCAGTATGTCGCAGCTGGACACACGTGCCTTGTGAGCCCAAGGCTGGAGAACCGCTGATGTCGCTGTTCCTCGCACCCCTTGTGCCGCAGAGCCGTGCCCTCCAGAGGCGGCCGTGTGTCTGCTGAGTGGCTCCGAGCCCGTGAACCTCGGCAGGGTGAGAGATGGTCCCCAGTGGAGAGATGGCGTGACTCTGCTGGAGTATGTCGACGGTGACCTGTGTCCCGATCGGATTCGGAAGAAGTCTGCCACCATCCACTTCAGCTGCAGCGAGAGCCAAGTGGTAGGTGACACAGCGGCCTCGGCCCCGACGTGCAGCTCTGGGGACGGTACGTGTCCCAGCTCGGCGGGACTGGTGTCTTCCTTTCCCGGGAGGAGAGTCGAGGGGCTCGGGGTGCCCGGCCTGACAGCGGGTGAGAGCAGCCCGGCCTCGGCCCTGTGCTTCTGGAGTGCCTTCCTTCTCTGGCCCCCGGGCTGCCCTGAGGTTTTAGTTCTAGAATTAGTTGATTCTCTTTAAAGGTTGGCTTAGATTCCCCAAAGGCTGGAGTGGAAACTGGTATCTGGCAGCTTGCCCTCTGTCTTCCTCGAGGCCACTTGGGCAAAGCAGAAGGGCGGGCAGAACCAGTCCCAAGGTGGCTCGCCCACCCCTGACTGGGTGACCCCGTAACTTAACCACTGAACTGGTC